CCACAGCAGCAGCAGCAGCAGCAGCAGCAGCAGCAACAGCAGCAGCAGCAGCAGTGACCGGATCAGCGGCGCATCCTCCTCATCCTCAGCAGTCCCTGCAGCAGCAGCATCAACAGCAGCAGCAACAACAGCAGCAGCAGCAGCAGCAGCAGCAGAATGTCTTATAGATGGTTTGGAAAGCAGCTGCTGCCGCTGCTGCTGCGCCGTGCTGCTCCTCGCCGAGGGGGCCGCAGCACCTTTTTGTTTTTATGTGGCGCGGGGTGTACGTACACCTGGATGGGGGGTTCTAATCCTGTGTCTTTGCTGCCGCTTGGTTGCTGCTGCTGCTACGATGCTGCTGCGCTGCTGCTGCCGCAGCTGCGGGAGCGCCGCTGCCTCTTCTATCTGCAGCTAGCAGCAGCAGCAGAAACACTCAGAATACAAAGCCCCCTATTCTCTCACTATTTGCTGCTGCGTATCTGTAGCCACCTGCAGCAGACTGCGCTGCTGCAGCAGCAACGAAGGCTGCTGCTGCAGGGAGCTGCAGCAGCAGCAACAGATATACTACCAGCCAGCAGCAGAAGCAGCAGCAGCAGCAGCACCATCAGCAGCATCACCAGCATCAGCAGCAAAAAACTATCAAAAAAGAGCACCAGCAGCAGCAGCAGCAACAGCAGCAGCAGCAGCAGCAGCAGCAGCAGCAGCAAGGCTGTTGCTGCTGCTGCACTGCAGCAAAGGCTGCAGAACACGCCACTGCCAGCTGTTGTGTCTCGGCTGCAGCAGCTGCTGCTGCAGGTGGACCGCAGCAGCAGCAGCAACCGTATTGTCTGGGAATGTTATGCTGCTGTTGCTCCTACTCTGCTGCTGCTGCTGCAGCCGCAGCTGCTGCTGCAGCACCTCACCACAGCTAGCTTCGAGCAGCTAGCTGTGCAGCAGCAAACAGCATACTACGTGAGGGGTTTGTTTTCTCACCCTGATGGTGGTGCCCCGCTGCAGCAGCAGCAGCAGCAGCAGCAGCAGCTAGCTGAGCTGTACGATCAGCCTTTGCCGCTGCTGCAGCTGCAGCACGATGAGTTGCTGCTGCAGCTTGTCTTCTTGCTGCTGCTCACGTCGCAGCGGCTGCTGCACTGGCAGCAGCATGCAGCCTATGATAGACAACGCCCCGCCTTTCGGCGTCCTGGTGTTCTCTCCCCAGCAGCAGCAGCACCAGCAGCAGCAGCAGNCAGCAGCAGCAGCAGCAGCAGCAGCAGCAGCAGCAGCAAAGACAGCAGCAGTAGGAGCAGCAGCACCGGCGACAGCAGCAGCAGCAAAGACAACTGCAGCAGCAAGTGGTAGTACTGCTCCAACTTCTGCCACTACGCCTACTTTTGCTGCTGCTTTTGCTGCTGCTGCTGCTGCTGCTGCTGCTGCTGTTGGTGGTGCTGCAGCAGGAGAGGAAACACAGGTTGCCTGGCAGCAGCTGCTGCTGTCTCCTGCTGCTGCTGCTGCTGCATGCACCAGAGCAGCAGCAAAAGGGTGGTACTGGTTGATGGATTCACTACAAGAGGGATCAGCAGCAGCAGCAGCAGCAGCTGCTGCTGCTGCTGCTTCACCCGTGCTGCCGCAGTCTGCTGCAGCACGACTTGCTGCTGCTGCTGGCGCAGAGCCTCGCAGCTGGATTGACGTTCCTGCTGCTGCTGCTGTCTTTTTTGCTGCTCCTTTTTTATCCGACACAGGTATTGCTGCAGCAGCAGCAACAAGTGGTGCTGCTGCTGCTGCTGCTGCTGCTGCTGCTGCTGATGGGGGCGTCACTGTGCTGCAGCTGCTGCAGCTGAGGGTGCAGCGGCAGCAGCAGCAACCAACACTTATACTTTCATATACACCTGAAGCTGCTGCTGCTGCTGTTGCTGCTGCTTGGACGCAGCTGCAGCGCCGCAGCATCGGCTACCGCCTGCGCCGCATCCTATGGGAAAACAGCAGCAGCAGCAGCAGCAGCA